CGGGGGCAGGAGGGGGCCCTGCGGACAGTATTGCGTAGGATAGACCAAATTATGGTAAAAGAACATTTAAAATCCAGATCTCTTTGACATACAAGCCTATATTCTTTATACTAAACCGTGCTGCCAAAAGACAGACTACATATCATAAACTAAACTTAAACTACTGACATTAAAGTTCAAATTTTTCAATGTTAATTATTTCTAATTAGTTGACTTGGTAGAGAATGAATTAATTAGACCTTCAAACTCCAAAACAAAACTCATTGTCATTGAGTTGATTTTGACTTATAGCAGCCCTGTAAGACAGGGTAGAATTCCCTGCGGGTTTCCAAGACTGATCGTAACAGGAGTAGGAAGACTTCTCTTTCTACCAGGGAGTGGCTGACTTCCAAGTGCTCACCTTCAGGTTCGTGGCTCAATACTTAACTCACTACAGTACAGCACCAAGCCTCCAAATTACACAGTCGGATAGAAAAACAGAAAATGGAATCAAGGTGATATACTCTTTAGAAATCTGAAATGTAGAGTAATTATGCCACCTTACTCTACCATCTACAATGATTACAAGAGGATAAAACAACAGGGACAACATTATAGAATCATGCTGATCTCGCCCTCATCCGTACGATGCCTTTGTCCCATTTCAGATTAATAAACGGATCTCTATAAACTAAAAGAGGACATTGCAACCTGTGAAATTTAAAACACTTTGGAAGACAAAGCAAAATCCAAACCTATAAGAGAAAAGATACAACATCTATGTAATCTTGGTTGAAGAACTTATCTCTCAAAGAAGACATAATACCTAAGGGTTTTAAATTTATAAATTCAATTACAGTATAAATTTTAAACTGCATTAAAATGCACCATTACAAAGAAATTCATATTGAATACAGATATTTGCAAATAAAGATGTTTGCAAAAACAAACAAGAGGTAAGTATCAGGAATACACAGAACATATACAAGCCAATAAAACTTAAGTCAGAGGAGTACAAGATATGACAAAATAATAATTTGTACATTATCAAGGAAGGCTTCATGAGGGAGTGGGGAGCAGGGAGGGAGGGGGAAAATTGAGGAGCTGATGCCAGGGGCTTACGTGGAGAGCAGATGTTTTGAGAATGATGAGGGCAATGAATGTACAAATGTGCTTTACACAATTGGTGTATGTGTGGATTGTGATAAGAGTTGTATGAGCCCCTAATA